TGAGGAGGCGGGGTCTGCCGTGAGGAGGCGGGGTCTGCCGTGAGGAGGCGGGGTCTGGCTTGAGGGGGCGGGGTCTGCTGTGAGGAGGCAGGGTCTGATGTGGGGAGGCGGGGTCTGGTATGGGGAAGCGGGGTCTGATGTGGGGAGGCTCTCTGAGACCCTGGAGCTGCTGTCAAGGGAGTGTGGTCCTAGGCCCATGAGTGGAGCTGTGGTCAGCATGCATCCTTCTGAGAGGGAGGCCCTTACGCAGTGCAGCCTTGCCCTGCAGAGCCCACACAGGGTCCAGGGAACACTCGCCTGTGACCCGGAAGCCAACCTCGGCAGTGTCCCCTTTGTCCTAAATTGGGGGACCGCAGGGCTGTCACTACTGCAGAGAGACTCAGCTGATGAAAGCATGCCAGAAGCACCGCTCTGAGCAGAGAACCCCAAATGCCGTCCTACCTAGATCTCCGGCCGACTTGATGTCGATATTGTCAAAGCCGCTGCCAATGCGGACGATGATCCGCAGGGCCTTGAACTTCTCCAGGTCCTCTCTGGTGAGCGTGATGGTGTGGTACATCAGGGCCCCGACTGCCTCGTTCAGGACCTGCAGGAGCGGAGAGAGTACGTGGCTGTGGGGGACCATGTGAGACGTGGGCCTGGCTCTGGCGTGGAGGGTGTGACAGTGGAGGCCTGGCTCTGACACGGGGTGTGACAGACACAGGCCTGCGTTGGGCATGGAGGCCTGTTTCTGACATGTGCTGTCTGACAGACCCAGACCTGGCTCTGGTGTGGAGAAGGGGACAGTCCCAGAGGCCAGTGCTGGGGGCCGCGGTGCGTGACAGCCAGCCGGGGCGCTGGCCTGGCCAACACACACCTGGCTGTAAGCGATGCACACGGGGCTGCCGAGCCGGTGGACGCTGGCCAGTGCTTTCAGTGGTTCTCCAAGAACAGAGGCCTGGGCAGAGGCCATTCGCCTGGGAGAGGCTGTGCGGACACTAAGGCCAGGAGCGAGGCCCTCAGGTTTAGCCTCCTCTCCCTCTATGAGATGTGAGGTGTATGGGTTCGCACGGCCTGAGTGCAGTGTGTGTGTGGGGGGGAAGGGGGGGTGCTGTCCACAACACTGACTCTACACCAGCAGCTGGGTCTGTCCCCCTCCTCAGACCTTTCTCGGTACACCCATAGGCACGCCCTCGCCACAGGCCCACAAAGGAAGAAACAGGTAGGGTGGAAGCCCCTGTCCAGCCAGGAGCCACAGAAATGCAGCCACACATGCAAATCAAACTATTCTTCTCGCTGTCTCCTGGCCAATGTTTTCAATGTCCACAAGGTCACCCCGATTCTCCACAGCCCATGGGGTCACTCCCTCAGCCCACTTGGTCTCCGTGATTCCCCCAGGCCATGGACTCACCTCGACTCCCTCCAGCCCAGAGAGTCACAGGGGTGACGGCGTGGGCTGGGGGAGTCAGGGAGACTCCATGCGCTGGTGGAATAAGAGGTGACCCCACAGGCTAGGGATAATTGGAGTGTCCCGGCTGAGGGTACCAGGGGTGATCCCGTGAGCTGGGGGAAATGGGGATAGCGCACAGCCCATGAGCTGAAGGAACTGGGGATGACCCCACGGGCTGGAGGGGAATCAGAGTGACTTGGGGTCACCCTGTGGGGATGATTCAGTACAGTGACACCCCTCATTGCCTGATATTCCTCCTCCTGTTACTAGAATTAGCAAAGACACCGGGTGTTAAGCCCAGTCCTCGTGCCATTATGTAAGCTGCAGTCCACGCACATGAGACTGTGAGGTCTGAAAACCACAGCGAGGAAGAGGATGAAGTCAAGACACCAAAATCCACACGATTTCTCCACGTTACAGCAGTCCCGGGGTGGGAGAAGGTACCCGCAGTGCACGCGTGCGATCAAAGACCCACGCAGGGAACACACGGACTCTGAGCTATTGTTAAGAGACAATGACAAGTCATTTGGAAACAGGACACACACACGAGCAAGCCAACGGCCAAAGCCCACCTGAAGGGGTGCTCACTGCATCAGCCATCAGGGAGAAGGGGGAAACACGGCGAGATTCCAGCCCACACCAGCCAGAGGCAGCCAGGCCCCGTGCTGGTGGGGACGCGGCGCACGCGGACACCGACCCTGAGGGGCACAAAGCAGTGCACCCACTGCACGAGGCAGGCTCATCTGAGGCGAAGCGTGAGCCGTCCAGCGGCCCAGCCTCCCTGCTCTCAGATGTGGATCTACGCGGGACACAAGCTCAGGTGTGGTCCTGAGACCTCGCACTGATTCCCTGCAGCTCACACTCGGTACTTGAAGTAAGGGGTGCAGCACGCAGGACTGACCCAGAGTGCAGGAATCTGGACAGTGGCATGGCCACGCAGGGGGTCAGGGAGGACAGACACATTCACAGATGACAGATGAGCCCTGTCAGAGGGCAGACTCAGACTACAGCATGTTACAGATGACACTGATCGAGACAAGTCAGAGGGCAGACACAGAGACACAACACAGAAGGCACAGAGGTACAGACACATCACAAAGGGAAGTCAAAGAGATACGGCACAGAGGACTCACGAGGGCAGAGACATGTCACAGAGAGCACAGACACAGCACAGAAGGTACAGAGATACAGACATGTCACAGAAGACAGACACATGTTATAGAGGGCAGAGAGACGTCACAGAAGGCAGAGTACATGTCACAGAGAACAGAGACAACACAGAAGGCACAGAGACAGACACGTCCAGAGGATAGAAGCATATCACAGAAGGCAGAAATACACGTCAAGAGGACAGAGACAGACCTGTTACAGAAGGCAGAGAGACACAGGAAACGTCACAGAGGACAGAGAAAGAGACACATCACAGAGGGCAGATAGATACAGACACATCACAGAGGGCAGACACAGAGACACAGCACAGAAGGCACAGAAATAGAAACATCACAGAGGACCGAGAGACATGTCACAGAAGGCAGAGAGATACACGTCACAGAGGACAGACACACAGACACGTCACAGGGCAGAAACACAGGGCAATCAGTGCAGGGAAGAATGAGGCACGGTCATGCAGGGGTCATAGAACACAGGTGCGTGAGAGACGGTCACCCGGGGCGCCCTGAGTACAGGTGAGAGCCCGGGTCACCGTCAGCTCCTTGGTGACCGTGAACCCCTCCCATCTCCAGGCGAGGCACCCCGTGTTCTGAACAGTCCTCCGTCTGGTGTGCAGCCAGAGGCGTGACCTGCTTTCTTCAGCTCTTTCGGCCTGAGAAATGGTGAGCGTGTGCTGTCAGCTCCGCACCGTAAGGGTTTGGCTCATGTCGTGGGAATACTTGAGCCTACTCCCACGGCAGCCTCAACGCGCCCATCCAATCGTGGTTACCTCGTGTTCTGCCTTCTCCAAAAACCCCTCTGAAATCTTCGATTCAGCTCTTTTTATCATTTTCTCCACAGCCACTCTGTATGCTAGCAGGTTCTAGATTCTCTCCCGCCAACTGCTGTGGTCTTTTCTTTTTACTGCCTTTTGCTTTCTTCACGAACGGTCCTTGGCAACAGACCAGTCAGACTGGTCTCCAGCCATTTGCGTTGCTGTCGCATCTGTTCTTGAGCCGGTCTCCACATTCAAGGGAGACGTGCTCAGGGTTGTACATGGGCTCTGTGGAGTCGTCTCCATTTTCTTCAGATTCCACTTGAACTTGCATGTGGGTAACTGATGCTCTGTTTGACAGCTGGCCCCTGGCCTCGTTCTGAGCACTGACACTGAGCTGCTCCGCCGTCTCTTTCCTCAGACGTAGTCCGTTCGATCCCTGCGCGTTCCCATCTGCATGTCGTGGTTTGGGGCTGTGACGTCAGCTCTGCCATGTATCGGCTCTGTTCCTACACACCCTGTCACCCACTGCAACCACCTCGTCACCTCATCTCACTAAGGGTCTTTTCTGCTGGCCCTTTATCAAGCATGATGCTTTTCTCCATTATTCACGTTTGGGGGAAAAAGGATTCCCAGTAGGTGCCGATGGACTTGCTTAACTGGAGTTACTTCTATCACCAATGTCACATAGACCAGCTAATAACCCGTCAGTTTCTAAATTTTACCGTCCAGTCACTCGTAATTATCACTCGATCTTGGCTGATTAATTTCTCCAACCTCTCTACTTTGGCATTAGTGTCTGGTGCTTAACCGTGATGAAGAGCCGTGCTAACTAGTCTTCCTGGGATGTGTGCGGACACCACCCTGTCCCTGACATCACTGTGCTACACAACAGATCGTGACATGCTCTTTGTGACGAGGAATTCAACACTCTTGTGCTTCACTTGGTCATTCCTGGCGGAGGAGATGGCAGGACTGTCAGATGTGACAATGCCCAGGACAGGGCTCTGGTGGCACGTTTCTCGGGAGCTGTGCCCGCCTCCCCAGTGGCTCTGAGGACGGCAGCAAGGGCAGCCTCCGCCCACTGCCGAGTGGGGACAGTAGTGGGCGAGTGAGTCTGTGATGAGATGCTGAGACGTTGACCCATGTTCCATTTCATGTCTCACAGTGTCCAGCGTTCCTGGTTCTCATTCCACATCCTATCACTAGCTGCCTGCAGCTGTTTCTTCTTTAAGGCACATCGTTATCAGCAACTGAAGGTCCTCAGAGCTTTGCTGCACCCACACTGTGAGGGTCGGCTCGACTGTGAGAAGGAGGCTGCTCTCCCACCGCCCTGCACCCTGCGTCCTGGCCCTGCACCCTGCCCCTGGGCCCTGCGCCCTGCACCCTGGCCCTGCGCCCTGCGCCCTGGCCCTGCGCCCTGCACCCTGCCCCTGGGCCCTGCACCCTGCCCCTGCACCCTGGCCCTGCGCCCTGCACCCTGCCCCTGGGCCCTGCACCCTGCCCCTGGGCCCTGCACCCTGCACCCTGGCCCTGCGCCCTGCGCCCTGGCCCTGCGCCCTGCACCCTGCCCCTGGGCCCTGCA